AAAAAAAAACACAATGATAGGTAAAGAGAATACGAAAAGAAAAATGGAATGAAATGAACATTGCATTGAATTTGTCCCGACAATATGAGGTGTCTGTATTTTATTTTGTAAAGAATTGAGCAAATTTTGATAGAATCTTTTTCAATTTTTAAAGGAAATGGGTTTCACTTTGTTATTTTTGATAAAAGAGACAGGAATCATTATTTTAAAATTTAAAATTATAATACAATGAGATTAATTGTGACTTAAATTAAAAAATATAATAAGATAAAATTTGAATTTTAAATAATAAATGACTTAATCTAAATGGATTTTTAGTTTATAAGATTCAAATTAGATTTAAGTAGGATTTTTTTTAATTTTATTTATCTTATGAATAAAGTAATAATTTTATTTTGAATTCATTTAATTTTCAATCTTTAGCTAACAACAAAATGTAAATGGATAATCACCATTCTAATTTTTTTAAAAAAAAATGAAATCTTTAAATAAAATCACAATTTAAAATTAAATTTCAAGAAGAAAAGATTAAAGCTAATAAATAGAAGAGAAGTTTGTTTAACTTGTGCTCTTAAAGTGTAATAAATATATTTTCTTACAATTAATTTAAATAAAAAATTCAAAAGTTAGAATTTTATTTTAAAATCATTATTTTGATCAGCCAATTGATTAAAACTAAGTCAATATTTATATTTTTCATGCAAATTACACTTTCTATTCATTTTTTATAGCCTTAATTTGATTTTTTAGTTTTTCAAATATAAATTTCAAATGAAAATTTAATAAATTATACAAACAATAATTAAAAAGTTTTTTCTTTTTAAATGAAAATCTTGTTGAATATTTTAATTTGATAAAAAAATTTAATCATTATTTATATAATATGTTAAATTTTTGTTTAAAATTGATATTTAAAAAATCAAAAAAATTAAATTAAGACTATTAAAAATAAACAGAGGAAATTATTATAAAAAATATAATAAATGCACTTTTGACATTTATCTTAAAAATACAAGATAAAAAAACTTATAAAAGAGTTATTCCACCACTAATAAATTTTTAATTTTTTAATTTTTGAATCTTTTAATAATAACAAAATTTAATAAATCATTTTATTTGATGGTAGATAAATTAATGTTGTTGCTTTTTGCTGATTAAAAAAAAAAGTTGTTACGTTCTTTTCTTCTTTTTTTTTTTTCTGATAAAAAAATAAAAGTTGTTACGTTCTTTTCTTGAAGGAAACAGAAAAGTTGTTACGTTCTTTTCAACATGTAAAACGTTGGCTGATAAAATTAGGTTAAATCTCTATTTTGGTTCTTGAACTATTTTACGGACCCTCGATTTGGTTTCTGAACTAAAGAAATCCTTGATTTGGTCCCCACTGTTTATAATTTGTCTTATGTTGGTCCTTAAACTATTATACGGACCCCCAATTTGGTCCCTGAGCTATTATTTAACAGAAAGATCAAGTTTGGGTTAAATTGGTAAATAGTAGGAACCAAATTAGGCATCTGTATAATAGTTTAGGGACTAACTTGAGAGTACGTACAATAGTTTAGGGACCAACTCAGGGGTTCGTACAATAGTTCAAGGATCAAATTAGGGATTTCTTTGGTTTAGGGACCAAATCGAAGGTCCGTACAATAATTCAAGGACCAAAATAGAAGTTTAACCATAAAATTATGCTCCCGACCTTTATTCAATTTTGCAGTGGAAAAAATATTAAAGCTACCAAATTGGTCACTTTAATTTTGTC